AACAGGTCAGTTTAAATCTTCAGTAGGTATGATAATGAAGTTCCCTCTGCTTCAATCCTTACACAAAACAGATAACCTGAAGTAACTTGATGTTATTTTTCTATTGTTCTGTCTTCCTGTCCCCACCTTACAAGGAAAATAACTTGGAAATGACCCATCTGCTTTTTGTTCTTTGTTTCTGCTTTCTTCAGCTTTTTCTGTTTATAAAAACAGCCTCCTCTGCTTGGCTCACTGGAACACTTATTCTATTTTATGGAATATCGTGTTGCCCAATTCTAGGATCGCAATAAAGCCAACTGAGATCTTCAACTAAATTTGTTGTAAATTTGTTCTTGGACAGTATCCTTTATAATAACCTGTAACAGAAATGTGTCTCCCTCAGTTCTGTGAGACAGTCTAGCAAATTAATGGAATCCAAGCTGTGGACCATCAGGACCCTGATTTACAGTCGGTCAGTCAGAAGCACAGGTAAAACCACCTGTAGCTTGAGATTGGCATCAGAAGTGGGGCGGGGGGCAGTCTTGTGGGACTGAGCCCCCAATCTGCAAGATCTGATGCTGTCTCCAGGTAGATTGTGCGGGAATTGAATGGGAGGACACCAGCTGGTTGTCCAGTCCACTGGCCAATTCATTGCTTTCTTGAGGTGCGAGGAGGAAAAAACCCACATATCTTGTGTCAGAAACATGTTCTGAGGGTATAGTAGGAGAAACTGAGTTTGTTTATTCCTATATATTCTGTGTCCATCAACAGATGAGCAGATAAAGAAAACATGGTATATATAAACGCAATGGAATACTATTCAGCCTTAGAAATGAAATGTTTTCATTTGCAGTAACCTGGATGGAACTAGGGAACATTATGCTGAGTGAAATAAGCTAGGCACAGAAAGACAAGTACTGCATGTTCTCATCAATATGTAGAATCGAAAACAATGAAACTCAAAGAAGCAGAGTAAAATGGTGGTTACCAAAAAAAGGGGTGAGAGGGAGAGTGATGGTCAAAAGGTACTAAGCCTCAATTAGAAGGAATAACTTTTTTTCTCTGAAATACATTGCACAGTGTGGTGAATGTAGTAAGTAATGTATTGTACATTTCAAAATCACTAAGAGTAAATTTCAAATATTCTCTCACAAGAAGCATTTGAGGAAATGGATATGTTAATTAGCTTGATTTAATTACTCCATATTGTATTCATAATACATCACTTTGTACACCACAAATATATACAACTATAATTTGTCCATTTACAATTTAAAAAAAATTTTTTTAATTTGGTTACCCAATTTTTTTTTGTTTGTTTGTTTGTTTAAAGATGACCGGTAAGGGGATCTCAACCCTTGGCTTGGTGTTGTCAGCACCACGCTCAGCCAGTGAGCTAACCGGCCATCCCTATATAGGATCCGAACCCGTGGCCTTGGGGTTATCAGCACCACACTCTCCTGAGTGAGCCATGGGCCGGCCCTGGTTACCCAATTTTATGCCACTGTTTTTATATTAATATGCCAAGCATTAACTTTTTATAAGCAAACTCAATTAAAAGAGGCAACTTCAAATCTTTAATAGGTGTGTAAAGTGTCTATTTTGCTTCACCCCCAGATTATTTTTTTTCTCTTTTAAAAGATCAATCAAGTTCTATCCCACATTTCCATGCACAAATGCTTTCAAGGAGCAAGTGGATGAGCTGCACCATGGAGAGACTGGTCCTGGGTAGGGAAGGGACAAATACCATCTCCCGAGTGCCCCCAGCATCCACAGTGTAGGGACAGGATCTCATCTCCTTTCGCAGATGGAGGGAATGGGGTCCCAGGGCTACGTGGGTCCCCTCAGGACAGGAGTCTGGTGAGGAGCAGATCTCTGCGCCCAGAGAACTGGTTCTTTCCACCCTCCACTCTCTGAACTGTTCCAGCCCTTAAAATTGACACTTGCCCTTGAGAAATTTCAAAGACAGTGAAAGTTTAACAGGGTAAACAGCTGAGAAGAGGGGAAAACTTGACTCTAGGCTAAATCCCTTCTACATAATTACATCAGCCCATCTTAGTGGGGAGTTTTTCAGAGGCGGCATGCACAAAACTATCTATAAAAGGAAATGCAATTAAGGAGAGTCTTTTTAATACAACTGATTCTTGACTGCCCTTGCCCTAGGCAGCAACTTAATTCTACTTAAGGACAGATATCTTCAGAAAGCTGTTATGTAAATTGTAAGGTATGGGGAGAAAAGAAACAGGAACCATCTCATCAGAGGCAAATTCTCAGCCAGCTGAGTTGGAATCAATGCTGTTAACAGAGCTCCAATTTACAGCGACCATCTCGGCTAGTTTACCACGTAAAAGCTCTACCTTACAGACCACATGCAACTCCATCTCATTATCATTTATTGTACTGCCTCTCCTAAATTAACCTAACAACCTGAACAGGAAGCTCTTTTCAGAAATTAGCTGACCACGAATTGACATTTTTTAAAACATGATCTTATTTGTTACAGCTGGAAATTGAAGGAAGCTACAACATATGCCCAGAGTTCTTTTTAAAAACTGTTAGGTAAATTCTAGAAGAGGAAAGGTACGCAGTTCATTCCGTGTATAAGCAGCAGTAGAATGACGTGGGTGAAGGAAGGTACCGAAAAGAGAAGTCATTTTTTTTTTTTTTTTTTTTTTTTTTTGTGACCACCGGTAAGGGGATCGCAACCCTTGGTGTGGTGTCGCCCACACCGCGCTCAGCCAGCGAGCACACCGGCCAGTCCTATATAGGATCTGAACCCGCGGCGGGAGCGTCGCTGCGCTCCCAGTGCCGCACTCTCCCGAGTGCGCCACGGGCCAGCC